AGTATGTGTATAATATTGCTTGTGCTTGGCCATTTGCAATTTGAGTATGATCTTCGGGTTTAACCCGAAGTACTCACTAAGCACATCGCTTATGGACGTTGTTATGCAACGTTGTAGGCTCGGAGCAGCTTTGGTCGTAGCAGGACGAGGGTACTGGTGATGAGTGAGACGTTTCCCCGGATCATGTATACTTTCTCTCTAGACGTGTAATGCAGTTTGTTATTGACGGTGTATATCTACTATGTATTATATCTATCCAACGTCCTTATGTTATGGTTTGTATAAGGCTTCGGTGAGTGTACGCTCATCACTTGCCGCCTCCGGTTCCTTGGCCTCGTCACTTGTTGTTCCCTTGATAGGATCGTCGTCCTCATCTCCATGTCTGTCAGACCGACCACTATAGTCTTGAGGATGATCCCGAGTTGCATGCAAAACGGAATCTATCGTTTCCCCGGGTCGAATCTCAGCTGGAGACATCTCCATTTGCACTTGCTCCTTTGTCAAATCGTTCTCAGACAAATCCTTGTCTGGTTCACAGGTCCTCGCATGAGTGATTTCAGCCATTTCATGTACAGATCGCTGAGATGAATCTGCTTTAGGAATCGCATTCTCATCCGTTCTTTTCTCCGAATTCTCACCTGTGTCCATGGTCACAGGTTCTTCAACAATCGTAGGAAGTTTAGGGTTACCTGATTCGCGAGTTAGGCGAGCAACGTTTCGTGCCGAGCGACGTTCACCTTGTCGGATTATCTTTCCGCTCCTCTTGGTCGTCATATTGAAGAGTGTTTCCTGAGAGAACAAACTGCGTGGAGAACCGCTAGAGAGAAAAACTTGAACGTGTGTGAGTTAGATGTGCGAGAAATTAGGGCACGTTCAAAAACTGCTGTAATGAGTAAATGAGATGAGTAGGGATTCAAAATTTAAAAACATTGATCGATTTTTCAATTCCCGTTTAAGCACAATTTAGCATATTCATATTACTAATCCATCCAGATAATCACAGATCCGAAGAGAAACATAATTGAAAAACATTTATGGGAGAATCAAATGATTAGGTTAGAGATACCTGTCACGGAGATAATCAAATCTCTGAAATAATTCTTACGGTCACTCGTACTTCACACATACTGAAGTGCTTCTCAAACCTTCCACAGCTCCAATATTGTTAGACAATCCGGTTCTGGACTTCTAGGACGTTGTATCAACAAGAATTTCTCACCACTAAGGTCCAGACTATCTCTTTTGAGATATACTCATGAGGATGCAATTTTTCATACAATCCACAGCGGAGTATTCTGAATCAGAACATAATTATCATTGGCACCCTTCTCTTTTTTTTTTTCATCAGCCCTTAGACCATCGTATAGAAACCTGTCTAACAACTTAGACCCGAGCACCTCATAGGTTTACTCATGTCATGATTCTTTGAATTATACCCTTCTTTCTGAGCATGTTCATGACAGAGGAGTAGCAGAACCCTTTTGTTTAAGTCTGTATCAGCGAGATGTACCTAGACATGGTGAAGTACTTGTGACTTTCATTTTCATCTGCTGGATTTTCACATCTCCAGACCTGTACCCTTCCCTGCACATTTGGTTCTAAAACACAGGGAAATAGCTTAGAGTTCCCCCACACCAAGAGATTTTTGTAACCCAACAAACCTGTTCATATCTTAAGGTTTAGTAAAAATGTCAGCCAATTGTTTTTCAGTAGGAACATATTCAATAATCAAGTTTTTCTTTTCAACTTGTTCCCGCAAAAAATGATGTCTAATCTCAATATGCTTTGTTCGAGAATGTTGCACATGATTTTTTGATATATTGATCGCACTCGTATTATCACAATGCGCAGTAAAGAAAGGTAAGTTGATACCGTAATCGGAAAGTGTTTGGCGCATCCACATGAGTTGAGTCCAGCAACTTCCCAAAGCGATGTACTTTGCTTCAGTGGTGGACAAAGATGTTGAGTTCTGTTTCTTGCTATGCCATGCCACCATGTTATTTCCGAGAAAGAAGCATCCTCCAGAAGTACTTCGCCGATCATCATTATGATCTCCCCAGTCTGCATCACAAAATCCCACCAATTCACAGCTTGTATCTTTTGTGTAATGTAGATCGTACTCCACAGTTCCCTTCACATATTTGATGATACGCTTGACCGCCTGTAAATGTGATTTCTTTGGTTTAGCCTGATATCTTGCACAGATTCCAACACTCAAGCACATACCAGGTCTACTTGCAGTCAGATAAAGTAGACTTCCAATCATCCATCTATACAATTTAGTGTCAACATCTTCTCCATCTTCATCTCGGATCAGCTTCGTCGTAGTGGACATTGGTGTTTTTGCTGACTTACTGTTGGGATATCTACGGGTTCCTAGCATGCGATCATATCGATCTAGGGTTTGGTTTACCATACCAGGTCTACTTGCAGTCAGATAAAGTAGACTTCCAATCATCCATCTATACAATTTAGTGTCAACATCTTCTCCATCTTCATCTCGGATCAGCTTCGTCGTAGTGGACATTGGTGTTTTTGCTGACTTACTGTTGGGATATCTACGGGTTCCTAGCATGCGATCATATCGATCTAGGGTTTGGTTTACTAGGTTTCATGCAGCGGAAGAAAGATCTAAACCTAGTCAAACGTCACACGCAACCAAACTCGCAAAACCCGAAAGATCGTGTATATCACCGAGGGAATCGTTACTTACCTCGTTCTCGATGAGACTTGAAGTTTATTTCGATCCGGGGCCTGTTCTAAATCACCAAGAGCTGAAAGTACAGATCCTCTACACGTATCCACACCGACGGGAAGGATTCCAAACGATTTGGAACGAATCTGCTAGGATTAGTGAAGAAAAGGGTAACTCAAGAGACGAGATCCAATCCCGGGACAATAGAAATCGAAGAGAACAGCTTCTCTAGGGTTCTAGGGTGTTTTTCTGAGTTTTAGGTCGGCCTTAATTAAGTTTGGACGTCACCCCAAACTTAAATAAGATTAGAAAACCCTAAAAATGAATATTTGGAAACATTCCGGATCCCGGTCCGCCGGACCAGGAGCTTGGTCCGGCGGACCAAGCTTAGTCCGAGGCCCACGAACCGGCTGACCTGAAGGCTTGGTCCGGCGGACCACGTGTGGTCAGCTCCGGACCAAGACCCTTCTTGGTCAGCTCGGTCCGACTTGTCATTTCTCGGTCCGCCTGTCCCAGAATCTGGTCAGCGGCTGACCAACTCTTGGTCAGCCGGACCAGGCCTGGACAGATGACCGCGGACCGAGCTTCCGGACCTCCCGGACTGACCAAACTTGGTCAGCCCCGGACCAACGCACTGAAAACTCCTTTTCATGCTCGTTTCGGTCAAATCTCGTTTCCATTATTCGTATTCTTCACGTTTCTATTCTTCGTATTCTTCACGTATAAGTCCATCCCTATTGGTGTGTGACCCTGGCCCATTCTAAGTGGTAGTGACTTTAGGAACCTTTCCCGAACCCCAAGGCATGGTTAGCCTCTAGCAAGACGCCATGACCACCCATTTAGAATAGAGTTAGAGGTGATCTAACCAAGGCATTAACAACTCGAATTCTGATCCTTTGCGCCACCCTTCAAGTTCAACTGCTTTCTCGTCTTGGCAAATCGACTAATAAAATAGATGCAACTTCATCTATAGCGTGGCCACGCGTTTTCATAGTCCGACTTCCATGAGAGGGCCCAGCGATATCTCTCCTGTTAAGGAGGTGACAAGTCCCATATTGCATGTCTACTATCTCCATATGATTCGTGAACGTATCTGATCAACGCCGTTATAATCATCCGGTTAAAGACGACGTTTGACGCAGTCAAGACACCTCATGCTATGAGGATCCATAAACGAACCGCTGTATGAGATTCAAGTCATGACTCTGTCCATGTGACAATCTCATGCGGGGTCATCCAGTCACTCGTTCACAACGAGTACCCATGATTGTGATCTACATCCAACGCGTTGATCACACCTCATGCTAGTCTTCATTCAACATTGTTCCCATAATGATGACTGACTAGGGAGTTTAGAATCATTCTCTAATGATTCAAGGATACCGAAATACAACAAACATGCTAATCGTATAACGGATAAATAATGCATTCATAAATCAATGAATCAATACAAAGTCAAATGTCATATCATGGATCATCCTAGAGCATTACAACCAACACTTACTCCCAACTAACTCGAATATTCTGACCAAACTCTGAGCATATTTGCTTTGAGAGATAAACATTCCATCATTTTCCCCAAATATTCTCTGTCATTCAGAATATAGCAAGTGCACACAAAGATGTGAACATACTTAAGGGGCGGGGCTCTTCCTTTCCAGATTTCATACGGGGTTTTAGACATGCCAGGTCAAAGATATATTCGATTGATCAAGTAACAAGCTGTGCTCATTGCCTCGGCCCAGAATCTGATCGCCACATCTTTGGCATGTAGCATTGACCTTGCCATCTCTTGCAAGGTTTTGTTTTTCCTCTCAACTACACCATTCTTTTGTGGTGTTTGCGGAGCTGAGTATTCATGGGAAATTCCATGAGTATCACAGAATTGCTGAAACGTGACGTTCTCAAACTCTCTGCCATGGTCACTGCGGATACGTTGGACAGTTCCCTTTCCATTTTCCAGTTGAAGCACTAAATGCTGAAAAGCTATACAAGCCTCTGATTTCTCTCACAGAAACCGAACCCAAGTAAATCGCGAGTAGGCAGCCACACAAAACAGAACATATCTTTTGCCACCAAAGCTTTCGGTCTACATTGATCCCATCAGATCCATGTGAACAAGTTCTAGTATGTGTGATGTGTGTATCTCCTCAGTCTTCTTATGTCGTATTTGAACCTCTTTCCCAAGCTGACACGCTTTGCAGACAAACTTATCGTTGTGAGAAAGTGTTGGGAGACCACGAACAACACCTGAGTTAGACAACTTGACCAATGTGCGCATGTTGATATGACCCAATCTTTGGTGCTACAAATCCATATCATCTCTCTTCACTATGAGACACGTCTGCTGAGTCACAGTTCTCTGAGTGCTGACCCAAGTGTAGCAGTTGTTCGAATTTCTCTTTCCTGTTAAGACACACTTGGTGTTTGTATCAGTTACAAAACATGCATTCTTTGTGAACTTAACTCGCATTCCAATGTCACAGAGTTGACTAATGCTGATAAGATTAGCTTTCAGACCCTGTACTACCTGAACATCATCCAATCTGGGCAGTGCAGCATGATCAAGTGTTCCTTTACCTAGAATTTTACCTTGTTTACGTCTCCAAAGATAACACTCCCTTCTTTTTTAGTTTCCACAAAGTCTTTCAGTAGATCTTGACTTCCTGTCATGTGTCTAGAGCATCCACTATCAAAGTACCAGACCCCAGTGATGTTGTTTTGCTCCGTGGTATAAGCAACGTTACACCTAATATCAGATTTTCGAACCAACCTAAGATTCTAAGCAGGGTAATGATAGTGTGGTGATGCATACCTGTGAATATTTCTGTTTCTTTGCAGATAGAAACAGTTTCGTCGGATGTGTCCCTCCTTGCCACAGTGATAGCACGTTCGATCTTCTCTTCGTATGTTTTTCTTTGAGAATTGTCGTGGTAGAGAACCTCTGAGCATTGAGGAAGATGTTTCTTGGTTCAAGTTCCCTCCAGATACAAACTTGGGAGTAGTTTGTAATTTACCTCGATAACCAAGTCCGGAGAGATCACCAGAGTTACGACCTATGCCAAGCAAATGATCCAGCTTCCCAGTTCCATTACCAAGAAGATGAAGATTTTTCTTGGTTTCTTCTAACTGACATTTCAGAATAGACGCCTCCTCTTCTTTCTGAGCCAGCTTCTGTTTGGTGTCCATCAGTTGTACTTGAACTTGACTGAGTCCTTTCTCCAACTGTTGTTTTTCACTTATGAGTTGCTTATTCATTTGCACCAGCTTAGTCATATCTTTGAAAAGATCCTCCTCAGTAATCACCTCATCATCACTGTCTGGTTCTTGATCAACTTCTTCTTCTATCACTCTTAGAAACGCCACAAAGTTTGATAAGTCCTCGTCATCACTATCGCTCTCAGTACCCGAGATGTCCTCCTCATGAGTAATTAGAGACTTTCCTTTGCCCTTGAGACATTCCACTTTTGTGTGACCAAAACCTTTGCATTCAAAGCACTGGGTTTCCTTAAGATTTTTCAGCACACTTTCCCTTTTAGCAATACTCGGACACTCTGCCTTCTAATGTCCTGTACCTTTACACTCCAGACATTTTCCAGCATCTTGATCGCTTTGTTGTCCAAACTTCTTCCTTCCTTTGAAGAATTTGTTGAAATTCCTGACAACAAGCGACATTTCATCATGTAGCTCTTCTTCAATTAGCTTCTTGTTCTTCACAGGTTTTTTGATTTCTGAATCAGCCATTTTCATTTCTGGAACATGTAATGCCACTCTCCTTTTTGTATGAACAGATGATCCTCCATTCATTAGTTGTAATCTCAATCCATGAGCACCGAAGGTACCTACAGCTTCCTTGAATGTGACAGTATCCAAGTTATTTACCCCTTCAAAGACAAGAATCTGTGAATGATACTTAGCTGGTAAGCTGTTCAAGAGTTTCTTCACCAGCTTGTCATTAGTGATCTTCTTCCCAAATACACTTGCTTCATTCGACAAGGCACTCAGTTTCCCACAAAATTCTTTAACGCTCTCATCATCTCCCATCCTCAGGCGTTCAAACTGTAGATCGATCATATCTAGTATATTCCTCTTTACTTTGGAAGTTCCTTCATGAATGAGTTCTAGAATATCCCATTCATCCTTTGCAGTTTCACATCCTTGTATCTGTTCGAATTCATCATGACTGACACTACTGAAGATAATTGATAAAGCCTTCTGATTCATAGCAGAATCCTTCTTTTCTTGGGTTGTCCACTGACTTTTTGGCTTTGTTGTTATAACCCCGTCAATGACGTCAGTTGGTCGAGTCCATCCATCAGTAACAACACTCCAAGTATCTTCATCCAGTCCACGAATATAGGAACTGATTTTCACTTTCCAATGCCCGTAGTTGGTTGAGTCAAGCATAGCCGTTTTGCCAAGCGGTTGTACATCTTTGAACCCTTCCATCGTGTGAGACTGAATCGTACACCGATGTGAGAGGAACCAAATTTCCTATGATCGGTGACCTGTTCCAATACCAATTGAAAAAACACCCTCACACAATACTGCAAGATAAGAATTCCCAAACTGATTCTATCTCTTTGATATGAGTCTAGTACACTTCAATACTTTTCAAGTAATACTCAACTCTCACTCGTTCCACTCCCCATGAGCGGAATCCCAGTATCACAAAAAATTCTACCAGCCTCAGATACACTGTGTGCAAGCACACCACATGTCACCCTAGATCTCGTCTAGGCCCAGTGAGCGGTTTGCCTGATGTTGCAAGGCTCCCCCTCAAGTGTACCTCGCGTTCTCTCAGATAACTCTCACCAGTGTTTCCCGTACAAACAATTTCACCAAGATTACAGACTCACTATCTCAATCACTATGATCTCGGCAACCCTCTGCAATGGAGTATTACCCATCTATATACTCCTCCAAGTGCTTCTCGTAATATACTCCAAATATGTATCTTGTCTTTTCTTCATTGATTTGAATGTCTTCTTTCCTTTTATTTCTTCTTTCCATGTTTGCTTTCCAAATTCATCTCCATACTTCCATTTATCGATTTGAATCTTCTAGATGCTGAATATGCTCTTTCCTTGCTTTAACATAAGCCATTCCTGAGGATGAACCAACGGCCAATGCGCCCAGGGCTGTCAGAGATGCTTACCAGAAGCACATCAATGACAACCTGGACGTGACCTGCCTGATGCTCGGATCTATGTCGGCTGAGTTGCAGAAACAATTCGAAGCAACTGATGCCTTCGAGATGATCGAGCATCTCAGGACTATGTTCGAGGAACAGGCAAGGGGATTTAACGTCCTTAAGAACCTGGTCAACTGTAAGATGACCAATGGTTCATCCGTGAGTACTCATATCCTCAAGATGAAGGGTTATCTAGAGGATCTTGAGAGACTAGGGTTGGAGGTTCGTCGTGAATTGGCAGTAGACCTAGTTCTTCAATCCCTGCCTGATAGTTTTGACCAGTTTGTCATGAACTATAACATGAATGGGATGGAGAAGGACTTGGCCGAGCTACATGGGATATTGCGATCGGTCGAGCAGAACATCAAAGTCGAAAAGAGTGTCCTAGTGGTTGGAAAGATTTCCAACAAAAGGAAGCGTTCCAAGAACAAGAAAGGCATGGGCAAAACGGAAATTGTTTCCGCCGAGCCTAAGTCTAAGGCTGAGAAGGGAGAGTGTCATTTCTGCCATGCTATTGGGCATTGGCACAGAAACTGCAAACTCTACCTAGAAGATCAGAATAAGAAGAAGCTTGCAGAAGCTTCATCTTCAGGTATCTTCGTTATAGAGACTAACTTATTTACTTCTACATCATCGGTATTAGACACCGGATATGCCTCACACATTTGTGGAAATGTGCAGGGCCTGAGAAGAAGTAGGCAGCTAGCGAAGGGAGAAGCGGATCTTCGCATCGGGAATGGAGCAAGAATTGCTGCGTTGACCGTCGGGACTTATGACCTTACTTTACCTTCTGGACATGTATTAGAATTACATGATTGTTATTTTGTCCCTGCCATTAGCAGAAATATTATTTCGATATCATGTTTGGATTCTGATGGTTTTCGTTTTGTTATTGAGAACAAAACTTTATCTATTTATAAAGGCGCTTTATTTTATGGTAATGGTTACCTGTTTAATGGCCTTTATATTTTGGATGATAAACCGTCTAGACACAGTTCAATCTATAACGTTAGTACCAAGCGGTTTAAACCGAACGACTTAAACCCTACCTATCTCTGGCATTGTCGACTTGGTCACATCAATGAGAAATGCATAGCGAAGCTTCATTCTGATGGACTTCTTGATTCTTTTGATTATGAATCAATCGAATCGTGCGATTCTTATTTGATGAGCAAGATGACAAAATCTCCTTTTACAAGAAAAGGAGAACGGACTACAGAGTTGCTAGAACTAATACATAGTGATGTATGCGGTTTATGAGCTCACCCGCTAGAGGAAGTTGTCTGTATTTCGTTACATTCACTGATGATTTCAGTAGGTACGGTTATGTCTACTTGATGAGACATAAGTCTGAAACACTTGAATTGTTCAAGATTTTCGGAAACGAGGTACCGCGTCCCAGGTTAGCGTTTATGAAGATTTGGGGATGCGACGTTTATGTGAAACGTCTGGCTATCCGCCGAATCTGATAAATGCATATTTGTGGGTTACCCTAAGGAAAATAAAGGGTACTGGTTCTACAACCCATCCGAGAACAAAGTGTTTGGAGAGAGAGTTCGTCTCCAAAAGAGTCAGTCGGAGTAGAATAGATCTCGAAGAAGTTCGAAAACCACAAATAGTCAAGGAACCGGGTGAACGGGTCGAAACAATTCAACCTGTGTCACAAGTTGTTGAGACAACACCTCCTAGTGGACCTCGAAGATCTGGTAGAATTCGCCAAGAACCTACAAGATGTTGGGTTTCCTGGGATCTTACAGCGAATCCTATTCCTAAGAGATCGATTCTAGGGTTTGCGCAGCGGATATAAAACAAAAATTTAATAAACCCTAGAACCATGCTTCTAATGAATCGTAGAAACGTTAGAACGCTTACCTCAATCGATCTGGGGCCTGTATCAACTGAAGAATTCGTCCGATCACTTAGGCAGGAAGATTACCTCGCCCTCTAAACGTATCCACACCTCGGGATGGATTCCAACGATTGGAACTTGTCTGCTAGGACTCGAATCTCTATTCGATATGTGCACCGAGAAATCTCGAGACTTAGAACTCGTTTTTGGATCTCCAAAAACTCTCTCTTTTCTGCCAAAAGTCGGCTCTCCTTCGTCTCTCCCGAGTTAGGGTTTTTAATCTCGTTCTTATAAGGTGATTTAACCCTAATTCGGTTTAATTTCGGAAAAACTGAAGCCCGGAACGGACGGTCCAGAAAAGCACGTGGACCGTCCGTTCCAGCACGTAGAACGGACGGTCTGCTCACGTGGACCGTCCGTTCCAGACTTTCTGGAATGGACAGTCCGTTCTGGACCGTCGGGTCTGGCACGGTCTCTAGCAAGAGACTATGACTACCTATCTCGAATAGAGTTTGTTCGTGATCTTTACGAATGCCAGAGATGATTCTGGTTGATGATCCTCTTGTATCACGATATCATATGTCGAACATAAGGCATGGACAAGCCACCTTATCTGATTCGACTGCTTTCTCGTTCACTGAGTTCGACTGTCTGAAATAGACGACGTTCGTCTATAGTGCGGCCACACATTTCTACAGTCTCGCTCACACGAGGGGCCCAGCGATATCTCTCTCTTT